GTCACCCACCCACACCTGCCTGCCGTCCCTCTATATCTGTTACTGTATTATACACCTACCCTGTCCACATCACACCTGCCTGCCGTCCTCTATATCTGTTACTGTGTATACACCTACCCTGTCACCCACCACACCTGCCTGTCCCTCTATATCTGTTACTGTATTATACACCTGCCCTCACCCACCACCTGCCTGCGTCCTCTATATCTGTTACTGTATTATACACCTGCCTGTCACCCACCCACACCTGCCTGCCGTCCTCTATCTGTTACTGTGTACACCTGCACTGTCACCCACCCACCTGCCTGCCGTCCCTCTATATCTGTTCTGTATTATACACCTGCCTGTCACCCACCCACACCTGCCTGCCCGTCTCTATATCTGTTACTGTATTATACACCTGCCCTGTCACCCATCCACACCTGCCTGCCTCCCCTCTATATCTGTTGCTGTATTATACACCTGCCCTGTCACCCCACCACACCTGCCTGTGTCCCTCTATATCTGTACTGTGTTATACACCTGTCTACCCACACACCTGCGTCCTCTATATCTGTTTGTAACTGTCCACCCACACCTGCCTGCCGTCCCTCTATATCTGTTTATTATACACCTGCCCTGTCACCCACCCACACCTGCCTGCCGTCCTCTATATCTGTTACTGTATTATACACCTGCACTGTCACCCACCCACACCTGCCTGCCGTCCCTCTATATCTGTTACTGTATTATACACCTGCCTGTCACCCATCCACACCTGCCCGTCCCTCTATATCTGTTGCTGTATTATACACCTACCCTGTCACCACCCACACCTGTCCCTCTCTATATCTGTTACTGTATTATACACCTGCCCTTCACCCACACCTGCCGTCCTCTATATCTGTTACTGTTATACACCTGCTGTCACCCCACCCTGCCTTGATCCCCTCTATATCTGTTGCTGTATTATACACCTGCCCTGTCACCCACCCACACCTGCCTGCCGTCCCTCTATATCTGTTACTGTATTACACCTGCACTGTCACCCACCCACACCTGCCTGCCGTCCCTCTATATCTGTTACTGTATACACCTACCCTGTCACCCACCCCACCTGCCTGCGTCCCTCTATATCTGTTACTGTATTATACACCTACCCTGTCACCCCACCCCACACCTGCCTGTACCCTCTATATCTGTTACTGTGTTATACACTGCCCTGTCACCCACCCACACCTGCCTGCCGTCCCTCTATATCTGTTGCTGTATACACCTGTCACCCACCCACACCTGCCGTCCCCCTATATCTGTTACTATTATACACCTGCCCTGTCACCCACCACACCTGCCTTAGTCCCTCATATCTGTTACTGTATTATACCTGCACTGTCACCCACCCACACCTGCCTGCCGTCCCTCTATATCTGTTACTGTGTATACACCTGCATCACCACCCACCTGCCTGCCGTCCCTCTATATCTGTTACTGTATTATACACCTGCCCTTACCCACCTGCCTGGTCCCTCTATATCTGTTACTGTATTATACACCTGCCTGTCACCCACCCACACCTGCCTGTCCCTCTATATCTGTTACTGTGTTATACACCTGCCCTGTCACCCACCACACCTGCCGTCCCTCTATATCTGTTACTGTATTATACACCCCTGTCACCCCACCCACCTGCCGTCCTCTATATCTGTTACTGTATTATACACCTGCCTGTCACACCCCACCTGCCTGCCGTCCCTCTATATCTGTTACTGTATTATACACCTGCCTGTCACCCACCCACACCTGCCTGAGTCCCTCTATATCTGTTACTGTATTATACACCTCTGTCACCCCACCACACCTGCCTGCGTCCCTCTATCTGTTACTGTATATCACTTTACCACACCTGCCCGTCCTCTATATCTGTTACTGTTTATACACCTACCCTGTCACCCACCCACACCTGCCTCCCTCTATATCTGTTACTGTATTATACACCTGCCTGTCACCCACCCACACACCTGCCGTCCCTCTATATCTGTTACTGTATTATACACGCACCACACCTGCCTGCCGTCCTCTATATCTGTTACTGTATTATACACCTGCCCTGTCACCCACCCACACCTGCCTGGTCCCTCTATCTGTTACTGTATTATACCTGCTGTCACCCACCCACACCTGCTCCCCTCCCTATATCTGTTACTGTATTATCACCTCCCTGTCACCCCACACTGCTGACCTCTATATCTGTTCTGTATACACCTGCCCACCACCTGCCTGCCGTCCTCTATATCTGTTACTGTATTATACCTACTCACCCACCCACACCTGCCTGCGTCCCTCTATATCTGTTGTATTATACCTGCCTGTCACCCACACGCCTGTCCCTCTATATCTGTTACTGTATATACACCTCCATCCCTCTATATCTGTTCTGTGTTATACACCTACCCTGTCACCCACCACACCCCTCCCGTCCCTCTATATCTGTTACTGTATTATACTGCACCCCCACCCCCCTCTATATCTTGTTATACACCTGCTGTCACCTCTCAGAACTTATTGATGAGTTTGACGCAAGTAGACAAGTGCAAACAGGCACTAGTCGATCCATAGGTTACCATGAAGATATGTATCAGTGAAACATGTTTATGGAGCAAGTAACATCACTGATTACAAGATGTTGTAACCGCTAGATTAAGGTTAGGATATAAGTACACTCTGGCAGTATGTTCTTCAAGCAGATGTAAACAAAATGAATCAAAGTGTGTGGCCATACATATGGCCACTTGAACCTACGTCTCGACTGTGTGAAGATAGAACCCTTTAGGGACAGGTCCAAGCACACTGTGTGGTAGTAACAACATGATTGTATCCACTTTTTTGCATAGTAACTATATCAATTCTCATGTACAGAACCAAATACGCAATGTTTGAATACCTCCCACGTAAATGTGAATAACAAAGTGTGAGGCCAGACATACTGCCTCACACGCCTGTACTCAGCATTTGTGAATAAGTTACCCTTTATGTATAGAACTAAACAAATAATGTAAATGAAATACTGTGTAACATTCAGTGCCATAATATCCTGACAACATGACCCTTTGTAAACTCTACTCTGTAATCCTTTTGCGCTACCGCTCACAGGATGAGTGTGGGGTGCACAATAAAGTAGCCGCTGTAAGCGGCAAAATCAAATCAAAATCAATCTCCATACTTGTTACTGTCACCCCCTCACACCTGTTACTGTCACCCCTTCACACCTGTTACTGTCACTCCTCCACACCTGTTACTGTCACCCCTTCACACCTGTTACTGTCACCCCTTCACACCTGTTACCTACCTCTGAGCATCCCTGCCGCATTATACTCACCCTAATATACCCTGTTACACCCTAATATACCCTGTTACACCCTAATATACCCTGTTACACCCTATACCCTGTTACACTAATATACCCTGTTACACCCTAATATACCTGTTACACCTAATATACCCTGTTACCCCTAATACCCTGTTACACCCCTAATACCCATGTTACACCCTAATACACCCTGTTACACCCTAATATACCTGTTACACCTAATATACCCCGTTTCCCCCTAATATATCCTGTTACCCCTAATATACCGTTCACCCTAATACCCTGTTACACCCTAGATACCCCCGTTGCACCCTAATATATCCTGTTTACCCTAATATATCTGTTACACCCTAATATACATGTTACACCCTAATATACCCTGTTACACCCCTAATATACCCTGTTACACCCTAATATACCCTGTTACAACTCTAATATACCCTACACCCTAATATAATTCTGTTACACTTTAATATACCCTGTTACACCTTAATATACCCTGTTACACCCTAATATACCCTGTTGCACCCTAATATACTTCGTTACATCCTAATATACCCTGTTACACCCTAATATACCCTGTTGCACCCTAATATATCCTGTTACACCCTAATATATCCTGTTACACCCTAATATACTATGTTACACCCTAAAATACTGTTACACCCTAATATACCCTGTTACACCCTAATATATCCTGTTATAACCCTAATATATCCTGTTACACCCTAATATACCATGTTACACTCTAATATACCCTGTTACACCCTAATATACCTGTTACACCCTAATATACCCTGTTGCACCCTAATATATCCTGTTACACCCTAATATATCCTGTTACACCCTAATATACCATGTTACACCCTAATATACCGTTACACCTAATATACCCCGTTGCACCCTAATATATCCTGTTACACCCTAATATACCCTGTTACACCCTAAGATACCCTGTTGCACCCTAATATATCCTGTTACACCCTAATATATCCTGTTACACCCTAATATACCATGTTACACCCTAATATACCCTGTTACACCCTAATATACCCTGTTACACCCTAAGATACCCCGTTGCACCCTAATATATCCTGTTACACCCTAATATATCCTGTTACACCCTAATATACCATGTTACACCCTAATATACCCTGTTACACCCTAATATACCCTGTTACACCCTAATATACCCTGTTACACCCTAATATACCCTGTTGCACCCTAATATACCCTGTTACACCCTAATATACCCTGTTACACCCTAATATATCTTGTTAGAGCCTACAGCAAAATTTATGCCACTAACTTTGTAAACTCGGTCACCACAACCTCTTTCTCCGCAGAGAGAGAGAGAGAAGAGAGAGAGGACGGATTGTGGTAGTATTGGGGGTGGGGATACAGCAGTTAACATGGGGCGGGGGTTCATAGCCTGAAACAGGAGACCACTGGGGTATGGGGCTAGAGACAGAGGAACAACTTAACCTGTGCTGCTGATGTAGGTGGTGCCAGGGAGGATAACGGGGGAGGTACAAGGCAGTAATCTGGAGTTACGGGAAAATGGACAACTCATCCACTTTACTGGAAGTTTGTGGTAGACGTGAGTTACACAACGTTATGGGGAGACATGATACGACATAACATGACAACTTACCCATACTGTTGGTGTAGGTGATGTTGTGGGTCATGGGGTCGGACATGGGGGGCGGCAGTGTGGCGTTGTTGATGAGGACGCCCTGGGCACGGGCGGCAAGGTGGCAGGAGAGGAGTCGAGTGGGGTAGAGGGATGTGGATGGTGGAGACGGCTCGTGCCCGTGGGAGTGGGTGGGCGAAGCACCGTGGGTGGCCATGGGCGTGTGCGGAGCCTGGGTGAGGAGAGTTGGGCAGCCCTAGGTACTGCACCACCTCCTGCCACCGCTCCATTTCCCACCCGAACCAGACTGCCCAGCCGACCCTGAAACAAATAACACTTACGTTAGCACCAACACACTAACATACACACATGACCCTGAAACACACACAACACTTGTTAGAACCATAATAGCATACAAATATGATTGTAACTAACACTTACAGTTCTATGTCTACATAATCACTTAACTACATTGTTTCTTACTATGTTATCCAGTTTTCAGCACATTATGTCTACACATGTATATGATCCACTGTCCTGCATGGCAGTAAACAGTGACATCACCCACATGACTCTGACCTATATATACTGCTAATGAATATGATGTATTTCTTTGTGTATTAACCTCTGTCCTGCGTGGCAGTGAGAAGTGATACCACCCTCAGTGTCAAGACCTGACTGAATTACTCAGAATAGGCAAACTGTACTACAAGCTTTGCCAATAAATTTGTTAAACTAAAAACTAGACCAGCATGAAATAAGGTTACCACCGTGGTCTGAGTCATCAAGTACCAAGGTGAAGTCCTTCGCTCACCTTCCCATGAATATAACACTAACGAGTACAAGCCAACAAGGGTCGATACCGAGCTTCAAAGATAACGAACCGGTCAATGAAAACTTTGATTTTACCTCGAGCGATAAATCGAATCAAAGATATTAATAACACGAAGCTTTGTGACAACGGCTCATTTGACCAGACTTGCTCATATCACCGTACGCCATGCAGCCCCCGCTCTACCGTGGTGTCTATATGCCACTCACAAACCTTCTCTCGGTGGGTGAATGAGTGAGTTAACCAGTGAATGAATGAATGAATGAAACAGCCTGTGAGTGTAAATGGGTGAGTGAGTGAGTGAGTGATTCAGGACAATTTTCTACAGAACTGGCAGACTTGGATGAATGAAGAGGTCTGTCTGGCTGGCTGTATATCTCCTGGGCCAATATATTGTACGGCATTATCGGCAGTCGAACGACATTTCAAGCGAGCGAGAGAACAGCGAGAGTTATGGCGTAAGGTAAGTGCAGGATTTATCCTCACTGTGTGGATAAAGAAGAGAGAGATAGCAAGATTAAGGGGTGGGGGGAGAGGGTAAAGAGGGGAGGGAAAGAAGTAGAGAGAGAGAGATAGAAGAAAGGAGGAAAACCAGGGTAAGACAAGGATGAGAAAAGAGAAAGAAAGGAAGGAGGTGAGAGAGATAAAGAGGAGGTAATACACGATAATAACAGGAAAACCATGAGACAACAAAAAGATGAAGAACACTGGAAAGGAAGAGGGAGTTACAGTATTAGTATGAAATAAAGATTAAATGAATATAATAAGAAAGAAAGAGAGAGAGAGAGAGAGAGAGAGAGAGAGAGAGAGACTCACTAGAAAATACACCAAACTGTATATATATACTAATATACTATCGTGTTTATTTGTCTGTCAATGTCTTTCTCTCTCTGTTCCTTGTTCCAATTAACGGTGGTACAGCACGTGTTATGTAACCCAGGTACATATATTCTGGCTGTGTCTTCCCTACGTTTCTGCTCTCACACACACACACACACCACACACTAAACAAAGGCACTTTACCATTTCCGCCTCTACTCACACTTAACACCTCTCTCTCTCTCTCTCTCTCTCTCTCTCTCTCTGTTGTGTACTTAGCTGATCAAAACACTGAAAATCAGATATAGATAAAGTGAAAGTTTTTTTAGTGAATTATTAGCTGTGTGTGTGTGTGTGTGTGTGTGTGTGTGTGTGTGTGTGTGTGTGTGTGTGTGTGTGTGTGTGTGTGTGTGTGTGTGTGTGTGAGAAATATTACAAGGTTGGAGGAAGAGTGTGGGGTAGATTGCAGTTACCTGAACCTTTGATGAGGAAATTATTCTTTTAACAAACCTCATATTTAGAGATAATCTTGATAATCATTGGCGTCGAAATTCCTGTTTATCCGCACAAGTCACTTCAATTAACCATTAACATTTTTCTTCGTGAGAACATTAAGATCTTCTGTTTGTTGTTAGATTATCCCGGCCGAACACCACAGCCTCCAGCACGAGAATAAACACTATTCTCAGTTAAAAGTGGGAGGGCGAGGCAGGTGGATACTCATTGGACAGAAGAATAGTGACACACAACCAAGAGGAAGCACATCCTATTATCTATTAGGCTTGTATATATTACTAGCCTGGACATCTCAATATAAACACAACATTAAGTAGATCGAAGAGTTATAGCCCATCCACTGACACCTCACAACACACTACTTGTATCTAAAAAAATTAAATCATATATGAAGCGTTTTAATGTCATCTCTATATTTGTCCTTTTTATGTTGCCCCAAAAAACCTCTCCAACATCCGTGTAAAAATTATTTCATTAGAATGGTAGGTGTATCAATATTACTGAAGTGACCCCAGAGCTTCAACCCTTGTGTTTGTGTGTGTTGTTGTTGTTGTTGTTGGTGAGGTTGTTGTTCATTGGTGATGGTGAAGAATATGGTGGTTAATAATGTTTGTCCTGGGGTTGTGGGTGGTTGTGATAGTGATGATGATGGGGGTGTGGGTGGTTGTGATGGTGATGATAATGATGATGGGGGTGTGGGTGGTTGTGATGATGATGGGGGTGTGGGTGGGATTTGGTGGTGTTGGTGTGGAGTGGCCGCCTCCCGGGGGTGTGGGCGGTGAGGCGTGGGCGTGAGTCAATTAATAAGGTGTGTGTGTGGTGGGCGTCGTGGTCACGTAGCGCCACGCTCGGCCACGCCCCACCGATCCTGACAAATGTCTAATTTCTACTCAGGCGACAGTGAATCGCGAACCAATTTGTGTTGTGGTTGACCATTATCTACCCTAGACGGTGCCTGTACTGCTTCCCGGGCCGCAAACACAAGCTACGACTGCCCACCACACCCCGGCACCTCCCACAACACACTCACACCTCTTCACTCTTACAACACACTCATTCACACTCACAACACCTGTACACTCTCACAACACACTCATTCACACTCACAACACCTCTACACTCTCACAACACCTGTACGCTCACAACACCTGTACACACTCACATCACACTCCTTCACACTCACACCTCTTCACTCTCACAACACTTCTTCACTCTCACAACACCTGTACACACTCACAACACCTGTACACACTCACAACACCTCTAAACACTACGTAAACCCTACACTAGTATCATGAGCACCCTAACCTAACCTACCTAATGCTCTACACCTCCCCATCACCCTCTAGCACTCAACTCTTATGTCAGGGTTTCAACTACATATTTGAAAATTTAAACAGTTTGGGAACTCTGCTAAACTTCCAAGGGACGAGTGATAAAGGTGTGTGTGTGTGTGTGTGTGTGTGTGTGTGTGTGTGTGTGTGTGTGGTGCAAGAGAAACGTGTGTGAAAGGTGCCAGTGAGAGAGCAGAGGTAAGGGCGACGGACCAGCGGTGATGGTCAGTAGTTAGGTAGGCATGATAAATCTGACGCTCGCCTCGTTTACTGCCTCCACCACCAGGATCTGTACACCGCACCGCACCTCAATTTAAGGAAACCGCATCATTATAGCATTAGCGAGGAGATACAGGGCCGTAAAACACTCACTACCCGCCCGTAACACCTCCCTCTCATTTCTTCCCTCAATGGATGTACTGTGTTAAGAGGCGGCCTCCTCCACGCTCCCCACCCCAGGCCTACACACACACAGACACCTCACGTTATGTATAGTGTATCTTCCAACTTACTACAGTAAATCCTAATATTGTGTGTGTGCATATTATGGACCACACTTTATAAAGTTTCCAAAGTGTATGTTATGACAAAGGTCTTGCGTGTGTGTGTGTGTACCTGGGAGTACAATCTGTGTGCTTTCAACCGTTCCCAGTAGTTGCTGTGTTCGGCGGAGTCATCGTTAGTAACACACATTCTATATTAAAGGAAATTTTTCTTTGGATATATCGCCAAATTTTTCAAGTAATGTTAATACTCGTATACCGTGATGATGGAGGTGTACTGAGCAGGTTAATCAGTGGTTTACTCTCTCTCGTTATAAGAGCGATCATTATCCAACTTACCGGAGTCCTGACGAGGCGATACTATAGTCGTGTTGTGCTCCCAAAGGTTAGGTCGTCCCATAGGTATATTCCCCAAACCTTATGGTAATCCTTTCACTATTTAGTTTCTCCGATCACAGTGAAAATTTCCATCTCTTCTCATCGGCGGGAACAGTGAAGCTAGTCTAACAACAAAATTCCACAGGACTAAACCCCACTAGATATTATACTCTACATGAAATCACACAAATAACACAATAAACTCCCACAAAACTAATAATAAATTAGACGAAATCCCTGTTGAGTTAGCTTGATGGGTGACCAAGCTTCCTGGGTGAACATTGAGTCAACCAGGCTGTTAATGTTAGCTTGCCCTTAACTCACACAGCCTAAAGATTTACTATCTTTTTGGACAAATAAAGTTCCCTCCTGGAGACGCTCATTGGTATCCTAGTAATGCCTTTAACACGTTAAAAAGTCTCGTAATTCGTAGGTTTAAAGTAAACCATTTGGCTTATATATGTGAGTTTCCTTCGCCTCACTGCCTTACTATGAACACTACCACAAGTATCACTCTAGCAGGTTGTATGCTATTGAAGGCACAGATATAAAGTGTTTTTCATGTGTCTATAATGATACATCTCCTGTTTGTCGTTGTGGTGCCGTGTAGGAGGAAAAGACTGTGAGAAGTAATGGTCCTCTTCACATTATTATTTTTTAGTTCAGTGATTCCGTCGGCTTTTAAATGACAGGCAACTACACAGGAATAGTCCAGCCGCGACAGATTATAAGTCTTCAATAGTAACACGTCTAGCCCGGGGGCCTTAATCCCATACACCCTTCTTTACCCGATGATAACATTTTTTCTCTTCTGATTGCATAGACTTCTTTGTTTCTCCCATAATGAAGACATGGGCAATTTTTATTCTCTGCATCCATCTCTACCTCTCTGCGCGTTATAGCTTTTGTTTACGACCTAAACACTGCATCCATCTCTAC